TTCAAATTCATTACTTCTATAACATCGGATTAACGCAATACACGATATTCAATTAACAAACTGATATATCATTATCGTTCGAAAGATCATCATAAATACACAACGACATTATGAAGTAATAACAATAATCGAAACAATCCGGCACGTAAATTATTCTGTGTGAAGTGTAGGTAAGAGCTGAAGAAGAGTGGTTTTAAGAATCGTATAAGAGAAGCATTTCAAAGGAGCAGCTTTGATGATACAAAGCACAAAAGCTTCACACGTTTACGGGTTGTTGAGAGGCGAATCATATCCACTTTAAGAGTATATTCAACTGATCAGTCACTTCATTTGGCTTTGCTTAATGCGTTAATTGTAAGCAGCGTAAATTTATTTTCTGACAACAGTTACAGCGATTAGGTGAGCAGTTTTGCATTCCACTGTTCCATCGGTTATCCGTTTTGCATTTGTCATCTAGCAGTGAGCGTATTGATCTCTTGACGCGTGTTCGGGATATCAATAACAAGTGGAGAACACGATGAGACGTTCTTCAGATGACTCGCCAACTCGGAAATGTACAGTGGTGGATCGATCTGTGCAAGATCTAAAATGAATTTGCTTATGATTGTAGATCATTTCATCATTACAGCGTTCGCTATTAACATTATTAACACTGCGATTGTTAAACGACTTCGAAATGAACGATAGCTGAATTGAACTGTTGAGAGTGGTTTTAAGAATCGTATAAGAGAAGCTTTTTAAGAATCGTATAACAAGAATTAACTTCAAGCCTAACCATATGTCTTGAGCACATCCTGAAATTTATATCTACGGATATCAACTGGCTGATTGATCCACCAATGATTTGTGATATCGTCAACGGTTGCTCGGAAACGTGGATCGCGTTGGAGTAACCAAACGATCACTTGATACAATCCTGAAATGAAGTCCAATTGCGGAAACTTTTAGCAGCTTAATGAAATGCTTTCTTGAAAAAGTCGATCTTTCATGGATGAACCAAAATAGCGATACATTCAAAACATGAACTAATTAATGTCATTATGAGCAACGCGCTATTCCGCTACTTCGCTAGTTAGCAAAGTAGCGCGCTATCGTCCATCTAACGACTAGAAATACTGCCACAAATGCTGTACCATCGGAAACGTTCCACGGAAAATCCACTTCGGCTAGTACGGTCTCGTGCGTGCTCCGGAACGGATTCTCCGAGAAGACCAACGTGTAAAGCAATACTCCTAAAGACCACATCTCCACTTCAGGTCCGTGATATCTGCAAATGAATGCTGATACTAAGTAATGATCATTAATAAGCACCTTGAAATGAGGTCATTGATTATTACAATGACTGGAGAGCAGTGCAATACTTTCTCTGGAATAAACCTTCAGTTCATTACTTTCACGTGATGGCACTGAACCACATTGCCCTCCAAGTGTATGGCGTGGATATTTGATGTTGATCAGTCAATCTTGTGAAGGTTAGATAAAAAAGAGCTCTTTGAAGACTTGACTGATAAGTAGGAGCTGAGATTGCTTGATAAACCCACTTATTGCCTGTGAGCACCTCTGGACTGCAGTATTCCATAGTACCGCAAAAGGTCGAGAAAATGATATCAGGACCAAAATAAGCAGCTGAACCAAAATCAATAAGTTTACAGCAGAAATTCTGATCGATAATTACGTTTTCATCTTTCACATCGCGATGTACGATATTATTCGAATGTAAATAAGCAACTGCACTGACAATCTGAACGTAATATATCGATTAAGTCATCCTATTAATCGAGGTGTTTTTGAGCAACTGTAAAGCTGAATAGGTATATTCGTTCAAAGAAAACACTCCCAGAAAGACTTGGATTTTTCAATTGCTATGCGCATTAATTTCGTGACAAATTCTTAGTTTCGTTGACATGTTAACTATGATTTCGGATGAAAGAAAGCATGTGGAACAGAACAAACCTGTCTAAAGATGTAACTCATCAATGCCTCATCCATTTTTGGTCGACGATCAATAAACTCAAATAAGTCCATACCACAACCTAATTTTTCCATTACCAACTGATAATATGTATCATTTTCATATACATCCAATACCTAAGCAATAGGAGATGTTATTGAATATGTATTCGGAGGGAGACTTCGCAACGGTGCTTTCGTCGGAAATTTCCTTCAGAAAGGCGATTTTTCGAGGGCGATGAGAGATTTGACAGGTGTTGCATCAGTGAAATCGCTCGCTCACCTTAACAATGTTGGGATGGGAGAGTGCTTCGAGTAAATGCACCTCAATTGGTACCATACGGTTACCACGTCCAGGACTGGGTACCCAACCCTCGGGCAAAACTTTCGATTTACAGATGAACTTTGTAACTGCCTGGAATCATAAATTATTTTGAGAAATTAACAATTTAGCAACCTTTAACTGAACTCTTAATTGAATCTTTTAATACCAATTATGAGTGAAAAGTAACTCGCATTCTAGCAAATCCTGTAACCGAGAACCTGTGAGCAGAGAAGCTTCATTTTTTTCTGCTTGTCGGATGGTTTCCAGTTTTACAAAATTGTAATCAGTCTTAACTAAATACTACTTTTGTTACACTCGACGATTTTGCTTAGAGCCGAAAACAACCCTAGAATTGATTTCAACGAGTGATTTCAATCGACGAACCAGCAGTCCACTGTCCTTGCGAGCCGCTAATTTCACAGATCCAAACGCACCGTTACCGATCACTTGGAATGTATCATAGTTGTGTGAGTATTCACCACGCACAGATTCTGCGTTTTCATCTTCTAACGCTCCCAGCGATACGCACGTTAACTGAAAATCAAAATTTTCTCACTAGAGATCGTGTGATCGACATGAATTCATCAATAAATACACATATGAATCACTGAAAATGCTGTAATCTATGAAAGCTCTATGCGATCAACTTTTTGATTAAACCGTGATTTTCGATCAAAAAACATTTCAAATTTGACAAAAAACTGACAGCATTCGATTCGTTTCGTCTGATTTTAATTTCATTCCTCGGAAACTCATCGTCATCTTCGTAATAGTTCTGGAAATCTTCACGTAGCATTTCGTCCTTTTTCGACTCAGCAGTGGAACTGCCGAATAAGCCGAAGTCTGCTGAACGATCGTAATCGATCGATACGGCCCAATTAGCCTCCGCACAAGCAGCCTTTATACGACGAACATCAAAACGAATAGCTGAAAATTATGTTGCAATACGAATCGTTGAATTTGGATGGGCTCTTCACCGAACTGATATTCTATACGATAGCAATAATTCGAATTGGAAACTTTTCAGAATTAATCTTCATTGCTGTGTCCAATTTTGAAAATAAATTGGAGCTTAAATATTTGCATCTTTTCGCAATCACTGAACTGATGCAAGCATTAAGTGTTACACAGATGAATTGACACATAAAGCGGCTGACCAATCATATTCGCGTCAGAATGCCTTGCGAGACCATAAAAAGTTCCTTCATGAATCTCTCGACACGGTGACAACTGTTCACTGGCACCACTTTCAAGAAAATCATTAGTTCTCTTTTTGGTGCGTACATGATAACCGTTGCATGGACTGAAATGACGACATCATTGAAAATCTTTTATGGTGATTTTGAACGGAACTGCAGACTGTTTACAACTATACTTTGTGCATTGACTTGTATTCAAAGTGAAATATGAATTCGTAATGTTATCGCGGTTGCATTACCTAGTCGACGGTTGCTTCGAACAAAAACTTGACTGGAAATTACTGAAAGAAATTGGTCGCTGAATCTTGAGTGCATGCTGGCGATCGGTGTCTCGGAACGAAACTTGTTCAAAACGATCGGTGAGTTCGTTCATGGAGTAGGACGATGAAAATGCTTGTGGCATGTTTGTGGATGAGCCAGGCTTTTGAGAGCACGCTGAAAAGCTTGCTCGTTCAACGTTCAACGCGCATTCAAAGTATACGCTCGTCAGTGTTATCAGATTAGCATTCGAATTCTTTTCTCTTCAGTAGACAAGCTTCAAAACGTCTCGTTCACACGTAGGCCAATAAAAAAGAGCATTGTATGAAAAAAAACGTCTAAGGAATGCTCTCGAACCTTCATACGGTTTTGACTGACAACCGCTAGTGGGGCAAAGGAAACGCTTATCAATGCCGTTATCAGAGTCTTCTTTCGAGCTGTCATCCACTCCAGCGGATGATGCTTCGCAACAGTGATGAATTAGTGAGTGGAACTGTGGAATAATATCAGTGATGTGCTGAAATGACACAAATTGATAAGTGAATGACGATAACAATAGCAGCAGTAGTAAGCATTATGAAAAGATTAATAATAATGGAGCGATGAACAGCGTGATAAGTGCTTTTTGGTTTCGAATTGTTCATTTCGAATGATACATCGAGAAATACATTTACGCAACAGTTGATTCGAGATCAGAAAACACGTACAATATGACTTCGTAATGCCAGATCTTTACGTTTACGTCCAACGAGCGCTTCGATGAAATTTTCATTGAAACTATGGATTGTACCCGATTCGGTTAATGTTAGCACTCCATTGAGCGCTGATAAAGCATGAATATTCAGTTCATACATCAGGGCATTTTTTGCTGAAATATGCAAATTGTTAGCGCGAAAGCAAATAATGAGGTGGATGCATGGTTTTTTGATTGTTGGGGTGAAATAATTTGCATGTTTTCTTAATTTATGTGAAATATGTTGATCTCATGAGATAGATCACTTAATATGCGCTCCAAATAGTGAAGATTTGCTCACGAATACAAAAGAAGTTTTCTGCAAGTATACATGAATCAAATAGGAAAAAGTACAACTATGACTTCATCTCAATCAAAGAAGGAATGTTGTTTGATAAAATTTTCTTCTCAAGCGGTTCGTTTCACCGATTCTGTACGATTCTATAAATTTATTTCCATTTTTCAAAGATTTCATATGGAATAATCACGAAATTCAATGAATATGCGTTTTCAGTCATACATTGGACACGAATAAATGGATAAGTCAACGGCCGCGTAAGATATTTTGAATTCGTATGTGAAAACTGGAGATATTTTAGAGAGTACCTTACTTACATCATACACATTTCTTAATAATGATAATATGGATATTAAACCGAAGACGTTACATTTTCGAACTTTTATCAGGAATGTGATGCTTTCAGCTGATTCACTTGTTGGAATCGAAAGATACTCAAATTTTTTTATAATACCCTCTAATGTTCAGAAATTGATGCGCTCTCTGACGACTTCAATCAAAAAAGTTCATTTAAAAATGGACTGTGATCGCTGTTGGAGTGCGAGAACGTTTGAACACAACTGAATTTAGAGTGAACGGACCAGTTCAACTGGCCATAAACGATGAGGATGAAAATAACTATTGCTTAACGTTACGTCGCCTGGCGGCAACAAATGAATTCTCAAAAAAATCAGGAGCCAAATGGATCATAAGATGTCATGCATGTCATGAGCCATTGAGTCGTATGATGGCGTTCAAGGTGAAACAATTCCTTTTCGCATTTGCACGACACCGATTCCGTTCAAAGCAAATGAAGTTAATTGAACTCATAAGAACTGAGTTAAACGATTATCTCAAAACGGATATCACTACAGATTATCTTGTTAATAAGTCACATATGAAATCAAGAAAGAAAGGCAGTTATCACAGAGTGAAGATGTTAGTCAACATTATCATTTCACTGGTCAATTATGCATACTGGATCAGATCACTTCTGTTTGTCAGAAAAAATTTCATTGGAGAGTAATTCTTTTCGGACAGTGAAATTGATTTTGTAGGGAAGATTGGTGTACACGTTGGGTAATGTTTGGCATCGAGAACACCTCAGATGTGTTCGATGTCATTGTCGCGTTGGTCCTGGAGGACGCGACCTCAGGGCGCTTACTTCCAATCAGAGTTTACCGTTGTGCATTGATTGTCATATGGAAGAAAATCATCCAAAATGTGCTGGTAAGAATGTTTCTTTGGATTGCTTTGAGTGAATTACATAGTGTTAAGCACAAAGTTCCATTATTACTCGTGTTATTTGAAGATAAATTCGGACTAAATTAAGGAATTCGCCATTAACCGAAAAATCGTCTTTATCTTCGATGGATTTTTTGAGAGAGTTCAATTGCAGGATGTTCAAAAACACTCAAAGAGACATGCGTTCGAGCGTTCGGCAAACAGTGGCATCGTTGTTGTTTCGTATGCACCAGATGCCACTCCCCATTTCCTGGTATGTCACATTGTATCGCTATCACAATCCGAAATTTTGTCAATTATGCATACTGGGAAACCATCTGAGATGTTAAGGAAATATGAATTGACAATATAAGACGAGAATAATGAGAAGAGCAATAAGACAATCGAATAATAAAAAAGACTGAAGAAAATTCAAAACCTGAGCCATAAATTTAGTCAAAATCTTCGCAAAAATTAGGAATGAATTCAGATTTGAAGTTTTACATATTCAACGACAAACCGTACGATACAAACTGCTACTACCTAACCAAATACAATTCGCTGCTGACATCAACTGCGCAAGGTTATCATTTTGATATGAATTGATTCGAAAAAACGATGAAGTATTGAGCTGAGGAGGCCAAAGCTAGAGCATTAGCCTGGATGCAAAGCTCAATTCAAGTCTGTAAAAATGTCATTACATATCCACAAAAAGTACCCCCAACAATCAACAATTTCATCTGTCGCAACACTGCAGCAAAATTTTCTGAATTTATGACATGAATTGAGTCGCTTCTTTTTTCAGTTTCATGGTTCAGGAATTTAAAAGATTGCACTAATAAATTGACAGTTTCTCTGATCATCAGTCATCACTAATCAGGTCTTATGATTGACGAAAAAATTTTGATCGGAAAATTCAACGGTTTTTTGTTGCAAATTCCACGAACAAGTGATATGGCAAAATATTTATTATGTATTATCCTTTTAATTCATCATTCAAAAGTGGTCTTTCTTGGTATTTTTCTCACTATTACAACGATTTTAGCAACATTTGACCAAATATTTACGAATCTGCCAAGCGGCAGTGGACTCGAACCAGCCGCCAATACAACAACAACAACTGTGCCTCCAAATCAAAAAGCTTCTGCTGCAGTTAATCAAGATACAGACAGTAACAACAGTTCAAGCAGCAGTCCTCGCACGGCAACTTCGGGAACTTCGATTGCAAACACCACAATTGAAAGTTCAACTTCGACTGTTCCGATTACAAAGTGAACGGATGATATTGAGCAAATGAGGTATATACAAATATAGAGAATGAATGAAACAATACGTTGTGCATTTGTACCAAATGCTCATATTCACTGCTTAATATGGATTTACATAGACTACTCAATAAATACTTGAAGCAGTTCGTTCAACAGTGAATCAAGCAAGACAAGAAGCACGGATGAAGAAATTGACTGTAAAAAAATTACTTGTTGGATCGCGTTCGGTCGCTATCGTTACTGTGATCGGTATGGAATTTCCACGAACGCCCAACGCACAAACATGTTGCTCTTCATCATCAGCATCTAACTGAACAAAAAGAGACTGGAGTATCGAGGAATGGTTTTGTATGCTTGAATCGCTGAGAATGTCATAAAGCCGAGAATTCATGCATTTCCGTTGCATAAGTTTGAAGCACTTTTCCCTTCGAATTGAGCAAAATGTTCAATATTTCATAGTGAGTTTCAGGTGTGCATTGCCGGAATGGCGAACTTACGTTAACTGCTGGTATGAGTTTAGCAATTTCAGTGCCCAACAGTTCACTCATCGACACGTAGCCGAGCAACGTTGCTAAACTGTCGTCAACACGGAATATTCGACCCTGAAATTACGCCTTTTAACAATCATTGGATCCGATAGGTGCTTATAATTAAAAAGGAACTCTTCATCTCCAGAATCCAAGAATTACACAATGATTTAAAAATGATAAATAATGACATAAGAAAGAATTCAATGGCACAAGGCTTCAGTCTGATGAAACTTGTTCTTTTTGTAACTATCACTGCAAATGAATGCCTCGCACTTTATCTTATATTGACCATTAACTCCTTACAGAGATGCGAAGTGATTTATATTACCTTGGCCCCAAGTGTACAAGTGATTGAATTAACGTCGAACGGCTCCATTAAAATAACCCATTTTCGGTTCGAAAAGCCACTCTGACCGCCATTTTTATCACCATCCTCATGGCAACACACCTCGCGATCGCAACGATTCCGTTCATGTTCCACAGATTCCGTTTCTGGTTCACCTTCTGATTCCTTCTCGTTCAACTCTGAAGATTTCGCTGAGTAGAATTGAAGACAAGAAGAGGATTTGAATGCTGCATAGCTGATGGACATAACTAAAAGATTACACAGTGAATTTGTAAGTGGATTACTCAAGAAATATGAACTGAACGGATGAATGGTCGACAAGTACTATGAGTATAATTGCAACTGGACACGGATTTATTTGGATTTCATTCGGAAGAGTTGAAACAGCATAACAGTGAATATCTATCTATCTATCTCACCGGGATTAGGTGTTCCAGAGCAGCACCCAATAACCACCGATGACTCTTTTAACGGACTTGAGCCACCTTCAACCATTTTATCTAATTCGAAATGCACCTTCTCGGCACGAGAATAGTGCCCTGGAATTGAAATCTGATGATGTGAGAGAATTAAAAAACAAAAACAACCAGTTATTAAACTCTTGGTTGAACGTTCACAATGCGATCAATCGTCGACAAATGATGGAATGATTTCTTTTCAAATAAAATTTTCAATCTTATTTCACTGTGATATTTTATAATCAGTTAAGTGCTCGTCTTCTTCTCTCGACCGACCAATAGAACAAACGAATAAGCGAACGAACACAAAATGATAAATTCATGTGAAATTGAATGGCGCTGTGAGGATACATGACACGTGAACAGTTGTTATTCAACCGCTGTCTCGTAGACGCTTTAAAGAAGATAGATCTCGAAATAATGTATCTATCGCATTATCATTTCTCGTTCCACTCAGTGTAATGTGTATTGATTTCAGGTGTGATTACGCGTTGAGGCTTATTTGAAACATGTTAGCCGTGAGCGATGAACGAGTGCAATCTAATGAATAATCACTAGAGAAGTGTTGAAATGTTTGATGGACGTAAATTTTGTGCACAAGATCGGAACGATTCAATTCAAAGGATCAAAACGAAAGCGAGCAGGATATTGAAAGAATTTGAATGTGGATGAATCCGTTTGTGCCTCATTCACTCGATACGAATCCATTTCGAATACTGTATTTGTTCGAGTGATTGCGAATATGTGAACAAATGACATATAGGTTTCTAAACATTTATATAATGCGATATTGAAAGACGTTTTCGGAGATATTTCTGAGACATCACTGAAAATGACGAGTGCAAATGCGTTGCAAACCGATAAACCTGTTGATATTATTGCTATTATTCGGCCTTGGACATACCTAGATAATGCATTTGCAAGACAGCAGTAGATCAATTTTTGCAGGAGCTATCCAATTGAGCTGAAGAAGTTCCAAAACTGTGGATTAGATGAGACAAGAAAATTGTTTTCTCAGAAAAGCTGGCTGCATTGTCACTGTGAAATCCAATGGAATTCAAATGAAATGTGAGAAGCTAAGACGATAGATATGAACTGAAAAAAAGCAACAAACCAACCGGCAATAGCGAGTTCAGGTGCAGTGGGCGGCGTATTGCAACAGTACAATTTAGACGATCGAAGTAGATATTGAAGCGATTGAAGCTTGTAATGTAGCAATTTTAGCACAAAAATTTTGTATTATTTGTTTAGACTTCACGAGAAACGCGCTGATGATGTGCTCTTGACGATGATTTTGATGATAAATGCGATGATGTGATTGAATAATGATATAGTGTGTATGTTTGTGTTTGTGTTACACTGAAATACACCACAAACTGAAAAAAACAATTAAAACCATAATTGTACAAAATATCAACATTTCAGATATCATTGAACGCGAAACTTTCGTATTATCAGCGTTGTTCGAACGACGAATGAATGAAACTTGAATGAAACATCAGTCTTAATATTACTTGACATTTCGGAACTGAACAAGATTCATGATCTTAAAACGATTCTGAAACTGAGCAGAGTCTAACGATTATTATGTCATTACAAGATCAAAAAGCAGAATGAGGAGAAGTTAGTGATTCAAAATTGAAACGCCTTGAAGGAGATTGTTATATAGTGTGTTATAGTGAAAAAAAATTGTTATAGTGAAAAAAAAACGATAGACGTAGTTCTAAAGAATTTCGAAACATTTTATGAAATGATTTGACGAGCGATTATTGCTAAGACATCAAAGACGACGATCGAAATGAGTCGCAATAAGAGGTGAACGTATTCAATAAGTAGTGCGAATGAATAAGTATTTACAATATCCAACAGTATCAATTATTCGAACGAGTGGAAATTATCTGGTGAATATACATCAATCGAATGTTTGTTTACCGCAGAAGAATGAACTCAATTTGTACCAACAAAGAAATGAACTGACGAATAAACTAGGCAACGAATACTTCGAAATGTACTCGCGCAGGACATTCCACAATCATGAACGAACGGTTCTTACTCACTCAACTCATCTGAATTGTTGACAACGGCGTAGAAATGATGCGACGATTTTGCTGATGGTTACTTGGTCACGTGCTGCTGTTTACGGTTATTTCGCTGATTGCACGCAGGAATTTTCAAACATTTCATAAAATGAACATAATGTTTCAAAACAACCGATTACACAGTTTTTTGCGTAGAATTTGGTAAGAACTAATCCAAAATTAGCAACCGATCATTACAGTTCAACAAAAACAATGCTTATGAGTTGGTTAGTGTTTCAGTTGATGTTTTGGATGATGAGATTGTTGCAAATAGTGAACAGTCAATTGAGTGCTATAATAATAGAATGCATGCTCACGACCATATTTCCGTTTGTATCGTTAGCGATTGCTCAAAATCGCAATACCATGATTAAAATAGATCACGAATGTTTTTCACGAGAAAATCGCACAGTCGTTTGTTGTTTACGGTGCCACTGTTAGATCAGAGAGTTATTGGATCAGCAGCTATTACATATATTCAAAAAACACCGCAAAAGAGAGCAAAAACACCATGCGTTTCATCCGACAAAATTTTTTCAAATCATGAATATACAGGTAAAGGTAAATAATATTCATAACGTAAACAATAATTTGGGTTATGAGCAATTTCGCATTTAAAAGTTTTCATCTTATGAATGAATCATAGTAAAATAACACTGCTAGCGATGCGTAAAGGTACGCAATTTAAAGGTACGAAATGATACGAAAGCGTTTTGAAATTGTGCGTATACTGGTGTGAAGTAACGTCAGTGAAAATGATAAAAAGTGTGAAGTATTGTGCGAGATTCGAAAAGAATTTCAAAGCGATTTGACAGCAAATGAGATTTTGCAGTAGTTTTAAAATGGCCATTCAAGATAGCATGACATTCGAATGGGTGTGCTGAGTGATCGCATAAAATTGTATTACGATTAATGCAAACAATATTTGTGGGGGTCGCTTTTTGCCGTATAAATGGTGAATGAAATGACAATAAAACTTAATCGGTGTAAGTTAAGAAATATTTATTAGAATCACATGCGCAGCTCTACGAGTCAATTTGCTCACCTTGCCGAAGCACTTTCAAAGCAAACATCGTCGTGTTTAGACGATAGTTTAGTCACAACAACAACAAAACAACCACCCGAATATCAACCCGGAAACAACCTGTTCGTTTATTTATTCATTCATTCATCCGATCACACTCATTGCAAAACTTTTGCTTACATTGTGAATTGCCGTCGAAATGAATGCCTCGGATTGCAATAAACGATTCGAATGTTAATAATCGCAAGGCACCGATACATCACCGATTCGACTGCGAAATTGGTTTATGCTGTCATTAAACAAGGTAAATCCATCGTAGGTTGGTCTACAAAGAGTCTTACAATACGCGGTCATAAGGTCATGTGCGAGGATCATCATCGTGTTCTTTGGAGAAATCTCAAACTAAGGGGCTGGCAACTTATTTGAGAGTTGAACGACGAACCTGAAGGCAATTACTTGAATTGTTTAGAGATTAAGATGCGTTTCCAAATGTCACACTTTTCGAATGAAATTTCATAAGTGATTAATAACTAAATAACTGAGATCAATAAATCATCGTGCTTGTTGTGAA